CCAAGGAATATCCTTGCACAGGAAAGTGGAAAGCACCAGAGAGAAGAAATGAGTCACTTGCTGGGGTGATAGAATGAGCAATTCTGCAAAAAGGCAGGTGAGAGTTAGGAATGCTAATGTTTCCTGCCTAGAATGTAACTAGATCATAGGACAGGGAAGGTCCTGGAAGTTGTGACAGATAGGCTGGATTTCTGATGCAGTTCCATTTTGACCTGCTAGTTCCATTTTGAAAGTAGGAGAATTGGAAGGGGAAACCAACTGTGTTGAGTTTTCTCTGCTTGAGGGAAAACCTGGCTGGTAGGCGGACCCTAGAATGAGGTCAGTCTCTGAAGTGACATTCTGCAGTTGTAATGTTGAGTGGAGGAGACACTTTCTGGTGAACAGATATGGTCCTCCTGTGGTTTCTGGACTCCCAACTTCTATCAGCCCCAGCCAGCATGGCCAACAGTCAGGGATGATGGGAGTTGTGGTTCCAACAACATTCCATCCCTGGCACAGAAGCTTGCAAAACAAGACAGTGAAACTTACAGGGTGATTCCAAGCAATAACTGGAAGTAAATCCCTAAGAATATGTGCTTAGAACTGCAGCTTCAGATGTGTTTCACTTATTCTGTAGACTCTGTCTATAGAGGTGCAAACCAGGATTTGTCACCAAGTAGAATCACCAGGTAGCTGCAGGTATACCTGCTTTGCAGCACACATAGACCCTGTCTATGTTTTACATGTGCAGGTGTAAACACATCTAAACAAAATTAATGCATGTGGTGATCCTGTAACCCAGAGTGGCCATGCCTCTGAGCCTCAGGATCAGAGACCGCCAAGCCCAAGATTGAACTATTTTTTGAGCCTGAGAAGGCACAGTCAAAAGGAGGCTGTTGCCTCATCCATTCACTTTGCTGCGGGTTGTGTTGAGTGAAGCAGGGCTCTGTAAACTGCAGTCAGGTTATCTTTCAGTTGGAGGAGGTGATTGCAACACAGTACAGCATGACTAGCAAATGTTACACAATCCCAGCACACTCAAGCATGCGGTGTAATTACAGGAAAGAGGACAAGTCACACCATAGACATCTCCAGGGTAGACTATGAATCATTTATGACAATGCAAAAGGAGAGGTGAAGATTTCTTGGTAGGATTGCAAGGAATTAGCCTTCCACAGAAGGGTGAAGAAAGTTGCAATTGTGATGCTAATAAAATGGTGATTTAGGCAGAAAGAGCAAGCCTGGATCTGCTCTCAAAAGCAGAGGTAATAAAAGAACCCGCATTTTTGAAGCAGTTGGTAGAATTTTTCTTATTAGCTGAGCATCTAAAGCAGGGCTGTAAGTACTTGGTGCCCCGCTTCACTCTGAAGAAATATCAACTGCCCCAAGCATGTAGACGAGTGCTCCCTCCAGGCTGTAAAGAGTCCTTTATGGCACTGTAGTGGCTGCCATGTCTTCTTTTCCTTTTGATATTGGGAGAGGCAATAGGCAAGTTTTGGGTGTTGTGCAAAGCTTCTCTACATCAAGCGTAGCCACAATGTTGACTTAGACGCCTTACAGGTACTAGGGAACTAATTGTTTACAGTTATTGTTGAGTCACATGAATTCTTCCGCTTTGGAATTTCAACATTCTGGCAATTCCAGGAATGCCACTCATTGCACTCCTGGCGGTATAAAGGCATGACACTGAAAGTCACAGTGAGCCATTACAAATGGGGTTAAATGTTTTGGGTTCTTTCCCCCACTCCACCCTACTCCTTTTGTCACTTAGCATCCTAGAAATTGCATAATAATAATAATAATAATAATAATAATAATAATAATAATAATAATAATAATGTGATATCCTGGTAGGTGTAACGTTGAATGAAAGGGACTTTCCCTCAAGAGCACCAGCACAGAAGCTTGCAAAACATGGTGGAAAAGAATAGTAGGTCGGAACCTGGGATCTGTTGTGAAATGACTGCAGTTCTACATTCACAACTTTTCCCATTTCCAGCTCCTAAATGAGATACGCCCATGATTTGTTTATTTGCTTTCAATGCGTGTAACTAAATTGTATTGCTATGAATAGACAAAACTCTGTGTAGCATTTCGTTTACCCATTTGTATTTTACTAGGTACCTGGAACAATTTGGGAGTTAGCTTCTGCTTGATGTAGTAGTTGCAATGTAAACAAGCTTCATGCTAATTTTATTACAGTAAATAGTGGCATAGCAGTGTACGCATATAGAGTTCAACATCACTGATTTTCTTGTGCTCTGTTAGGTACTTGGTAGTGGCAGCAGAGAGATCCTACCTTCTGAAATCTTAAGATGTGAGGCTGCCCTGAAGGCATTGACTGTAGCCAAGCACCATTTCCCCCTGTTTTGACAAACCTCCCCCCCCCACAATCTATTCAAATATTTTGTTAGTGCTGGTTGTCAGCCATCATTTCCAATTCATTGTGTTACCTTTATATGAGAAGGGCCATATATCACTATGGGCACAGATTAGAGCCCAAGTATGTAAATTATCTCCTTCAGTTTGCATGCAGTGACATTTTAAAAATCAGAATGTTGCCCTGCTGTTACAACAGAATAGCACTTCATTAGCATTTTAATGACATTTCAAGGTTTATTTTTAAAAGAGAGGTTTTAAACTGTAGGCCTTCATTTATGCCTTTAGGTAAGAGAGGAGGAAAGCTCACTCTGTACGGATTATGATTCTTACCTACACTTACATCTCAGGACTTTGCAATGAATGCTCTGCTTGCAACAAATATTTTTAAACTATATTATGGAGGCTGTTGGCTGATACCTGACATAGTATCAGGAATGCCGCTTTTTCTGGCAGGGCTGCTGTGTCTCTTAACAGCTGTACCGCAGGCAGAAATTCAACAGTTGAAGCTTTTGCTCGTGTGATGTTGATGCTGAGTTACCCTTCCTTCACTAGAAGGTCCTAGGACAGGTTACATCTGAAAGGTATAGTGCAATGGGGATAGATCAGTTGGTAGAGCACGAGACGCGGCAGCTAAAAAAGCCAATGCAATTCTGGGCTGCATCAATAGGAGTATAGCATCTAGATAAAGGGAAGTAATAGTGCCACTGTATTCTGCTCTGGTCAGACCTCACCTGGAGTACTGTGTCCAGTTCTGGGCACCACAGTTCAAGAGGGACACTGACAAACTGGAACGTGTCCAGAGGAGGGCAACCAAAATGGTCAAAGGTCTGGAAACGATGCCTTATGAAGAACGGCTAAGGGAGCTGGGCATGTTTAGCCTGGAGAAGAGGAGGTTAAGGGGTGATATGATAGCCATGTTCAAATATATAAAAGGATGTCACATAGAGGAGGGAGAAAGGTTGTTTTCTGCTGCTCCAGAGAAGTGGACACGGAGCAATGGATCCAAACTACAAGAAAGAAGATTCCACCTAAACATTAGGAAGAACTTCCTGACAGTAAGAGCTGTTCGACAGTGGAATTTGCTGCCAAGGAGTGTGGTGGAGTCTCCTTCTTTGGAGGTCTTTAAGCAGAGGCTTGACAACCATATGTAAGGAGTGCTCTGATGGTGTTTCCTGCTTGGCAGGGGGTTGGACTCGATGGCCCTTGTGGTCTATTCCAACTCTATGATTCTATGAGACTCCTAATCTCAGGGTTGTGGGTTTGAGCCCCAAGTTGGGAAAGTTCCTGCATTGCAGGTGGTTGACCCTCACGGTCCCTTCCAACTCTACAATTCTTTGATCCTATGATATGATTCTACAAGTATAGTTAAATCATGGCTAGGCAACCTGAGGCCCAGGGGCCGTATCTGGCCCAATTGCCTTGTAAATCCAGACTGCAGATGGTCCGGGAATCTGCGTGTTTTTACATGAGCAGAATGTGTGCTTTTATTTAAAATGCATCTCTGGGTTATTTGTGGGGCATAGGAATTCATTCATCTCCCCCCCCCAAATAGTCCAGCCCCCCACAAGGTCTGAGGGACAGTGGACTGGCCCTCTGCTGAAAAAGTTTGCTGACCCCTGATAAATAAAGCCCACTCTACCCAAAATGGATGCAGGGAATGTTTGTTATATATGCATATATTTCAAAACATTTAAATACTGCTTGATTCCAATAAAAGCTCAAAGCGGTTTATTTTATATCTGCCTGCCATGCAGCTGGAGGCCTGCCAGGGGGAAAATTGTAATTTCCACTCAGTTAAGTCCTGCAAAGGATCCTGTCCGTTCATTGTGAAATGTTCTGTTTTATTTTGGTATCCTTTAAATCAAGGGTGGGGGACTTCAGGCCTGCAGGCCAAATGCTGCCCTCAAGGTGTCTCTTTTTGACCCTTGAACTTTTTCCAGGCCACACCCTCCCCATTCTGCTTCGCACCTCAGGGTGTTTTTGATTGGCCGGAATGTGTCTTAGAACTTTGCTAATGCTTCTCGCTGGTCTGGATGGAGGATAGAGAGGGATCAGTGTGTGTGTGCGCACACACGCAGAAACAGTTGTGTGTTAGCTGCAACAGGTTAACATGGCTTCTCTTCTGGAAGTTACGTACCTAGTGTGTTGGTGGCAATATAAACATAAATAATAAGAAGTAGTATAAATAAGTAACTGCACTGCCTTAATGTGCATTGAATATAGCATTCTACCCTGCACACTCCTTTATTTATACTGCTGTGGCCATACAATTGTACAAGTGCTGCAGCAATTAATGTGTGCACATGTGGCAGAGGAGGGGGAGAAAATTGCCACGAATCACCAGCAACTCTTCTATCCTGTTCTGGTTCACGTGAGAAACTTCTGAATCTTGACCAAGTCTGGATTGATTCCCCTTGGGGAGGGAAAAAGTGCCTTGTTTGCTTCAACTTCTCTTCCCTGGCAATTCTTGTTTCAACATCCTTTTTTGTGGAATGCTGTGGATTAACTCTGTTAACCGAGAATTCAAAGGAAAACAATTAACGTTAATTGCAACCACATTGTTATGGTCTGTTCACATCAGACCTCTCAAACCTTAAGCCTGCTGTGGTCACCCATGTTTGCTTTCTCTTTCTCCGCAGAATGCAATGAATTTGCCTCCTGACAAAGCAAGGCTACTTCGACAGTACGACAACGAGAAGAAGTGGGAGCTGATCTGTGATCAGGTAAGTGTGTCAACCAATAGGTTCCTTAAGGCTGGTCTTACAAACACTGTCCCTATGCCATGATAGTAGTAGATGCCTAGGAAGCTGCCTTATACAGGACCAGACTCTTCATTCATCTGGTCTGGTATCTGCCATTCTGACTGGCAGCAGCTCCAGATCTAGAGCAGCTCTTTTAAAGTGTCAAGGATTCAACCTGATACTTTTCTCCATGCAAACAAGACCAATGCTCTCATTAAGTCTCTTAAAATGTTGGGGTAGCTGAGAACAGAAATCTAATGGGTTGTTTCTGCTGGCAGAAGACTTCTAACGTAGGATTGATTCATGCAACCTCTTGAGTGTATGATAGCTGTGAGAAAAGCCTGTGTATGTGGCTTCTAGTCTCTGATGATCCAGTTGTGTGCACCCGCTGCTGTGTTCAATATTCAATATTTCCCCACTTTATTTGCAAATCAATCCAAACACCTCTTTTTGAGCAAGCACAGACTTTCCTGGTCATTACCACATACCCATTGGCTATGTGATTTGATTTAAAGAGAGCCTGACGCCTGGGAAAAGGAAAGCAGCCACCCCACCTTGAGGTTGAGAAGTGGAAGCTGCAGAGTGTGGATGATGCTCTACACCCGGAATGTGTGATTTGCCAGTGATGGCCAGGAGTAATAAAAGTGCCATGAAAAAGCCAAGGGGAAAGATGCAAATCTTTGGGCTCTAAATCCACGTGAACTGCATTAGCTCAGACTACAGGGCTGTCCAGCTGTAAACCCTCATTGAAAGGATCCTCCCTATCTGTATTTTAGAGCATATGTGTTTTATTTCCCCTTTGCAACACTTTTCTTATTGTTGATTGATACAGGATACAGGATATGGACAGTGTAGCTTTCTAAGCTTTGGCGTAAAATGCAATAGATTAAATGGTTTGCTTGACCTGAGTAGAAACAAGATGGGTTCTGTCTATTTCTTGGTAGACACAATTCCAGGTCTCAGCGTCCTGAACCACGGGTTACCTGGAGGCAAGTCCTGCTGGAGCGAATACTCCCACAGCAGATGTTAGTGTGCAGGCCAACAAGTCGAGAGTCCACTCAGGCCAAATTCCCACCTCTGCAGCCAATCCAGGGGTCAGGGTACATGGAGGTCAGTCCCACAAAAGAATAGTCTCCAAGAGTTCCCTGGAACATCCAAGCCATGGTCCAACCAACGTGGCAAGTTGAGCAGACCCAGCACCTCAGCTCTGCTTCCCTTTTGTACTTTGCCTGCTGATTGTGGTATCTGGGCTTGATGAGGCAGGTGACCCCCGCCTGTTCCAGGCTCACTCCAGCTGAGAAATCACACACATACTCCCAGGGCTAGCGAGCCCTACTTGACCAGCTAGGAAGCTGGGCTGGGGACCTTCCTAGATCATCCCTACGCTTCAGAGCTCACTGTGTTCATGGAGCCTGAGGCTCCTCTGGCTCTGGTGATGGGTCTTGCTGTTTTGGTTCCTGTGCACTGAACCCATCCCCTCGACATGCTCCATCACCCAGTGAGTACTTCCTTCCCCAAACCCCTGCTTGCTTTGGTGTGTCCCAGTCCTGGCTACACCCCTCACCAGGATCCTCTTCCTCCTCTCTGTCATCCTGCCAGTTCATGACACAGCATGACTATCACAGTTGGTCTCCTCACAAAGAGAAACTGAGGGATCACTAGTCTGTTGTCCCCATTTCATTTCCAGAGACTAGGCCACCACCATTGTTAAGGAAAGGGGGAAAGCCTGGCCCTGTGTCATACTGTTTGGATTGTTTAACTTGGGCCAACTTCTGCAGGATGTAGAGAAGTGAAACATTTGCCTCCCCTCTTCTTTAGTACCTTTTAGTCTTTTCTGAAAATGATGGAATTGCTGCCAACCATTCTGAGAATGAAACCATGGTCTTTGGGGATGCACAGTTTCCTGCCACTGCACAATTATTATATCTGCAGCGGGCCAAATAGAAATACAGCATCATTTATTTATGCCCAAGCTGGATTTCGAAGGGGTAGAGGAACCAGAGACCAAACTACAAACATGCGCTGGATTATGGAGAAAGCTAGAGAGTTCCAGAAAAACATCTACTTCTGCTTCATTGACTATGTCGACCACAGCAAACTATGGCAAGTTCTTAAAGTAATGGGAGTGCCTGATCACCTCATCTGTCTCCTGAGAAATCTCTATGTAGGACAAGAAGCTACAGTTAGAACTGGATATGGAACAACTGATTGGTTCACAATTGGGAAAGGAGTACGACAAGGCTGTATGTTGTCTCCCTGTTTATTTAACTTATATGCAGAATTCATCATGCAAAAGGCTGGGCTGGATGAATCCCAAGCCGGAATTAAGATTGCCGGAAGAAATATCAACAACTTCAGATATGCAGATGACACAACCTTGATGGCAGAAAGTGAGGAGGAATTAAAACCCCTTTTAATGAGGGTGAAAGAGGAGAGGGCAAAATATGGTCTGAAGCTCAGCATCAAAAAAACTAAGATCATGACCACTGGTCCCATCAACTCCTGGCAAATAGAAGGGAGGCAGTGAGAGATTTTACTTTCTAGGAATCCATGATCACTGCAGATGGTGACAGCAGTCACAAAATTAAAAGATTCCTGCTTCTTGGGAGAAAAGCAATGACAATCCTAGACAGCATCTTAAAAAGCAGAGACATCACCTTGCCGACAAAGGTCCGTATAGTTAAAGCTATGGTTTTCCCAGTAGTGATGTATGGAAGTGAGAGCTGGACCATAAAGAAGGCTGATCGCCGAAGAATGGATGCTTTTGAATTCTGGCACTGGAGGAGACTCTTGAGAGTCCCATGGACTGCAAGAAGATCAAACCTATCCATTCTTAAGGAAATCAGCCCTGAGTGCTCACTGGAAGGACAGATCCTGAAGCTGAAGCTCCAATACTTTGGCCACCTCATGAGAAGAGAAGATTCCCTGGAAAAGACCCAGATGTTGGGAAGATTGAGGGTGCAAGGAGATGGGGACGACAGAGAACGAGATGGTTGGACAGTGTTCTTGAAGCTACAAACATGAGTTTGACCAAGCTGTGGGAGGCAGTGGAAGACAGGAGTGCCTGGCATGCTCTGGTCCATGGGGTCACAAAGAGTTGGACACGACTAAACAACAAGGGTTTAGGGTTTTTTGAATTTGAAGCAGTCACCCCAAAAAAAGAAGGGGAAATATTTTACAATAAAGGGGTATTTGGCAATCTTGGAAAGGCTCTGTTAAACAGAAGACCTGCAAACAGAGGACTAGACTCAGCAAATTTGTTTGCACTTAAGCACTTCTGAAGCTCAGCCATTGGGTCTGCCCATAGCTTCATAGAGTCACCCCAAATTAATAACTAAAACCAAAAGCAACTCCATGGAATATGCCTTGTATATCCCCCAGTGCAGTTGTCATTTTGTCTTGGAGCTACAGGACTAACAGTTTGTGTTGGTTGGATATTCCACGCAGAACATTTAAAAGCATTGTACAGCTTACAATTGCAATTTACTGAGACACTGTGGCAAATTGCTTAATCTGCTGTAAGTAACTCATTTCCTCGGGGCTGTTTGCTTACAGCGTGCACAGTTAAGAGCGAAAAGCCTCTATGAATTGTGAGCTTTGTCCTCAGTTGTATACACTGTCAGCCAGCAGGATTCAGGAAGAATGCAATAGCTATATGGTTGGGGCCCAGGCACTGTCATTCACACCTCAGAGTCAATTGTGCTCATTTGCAGCACACAGCCCTGCCATTTCAGATAGAGATCGGTAGTCTTGGAATCTGGAGATACATTGATAGCAGGGTTCAGGAAGGCAGGTGAGAATTTCAATCAGAGGAAAGGGGTGGGGAAATCTGAGAGATACTCTTGAATATTGTCATTTCGTTGTCTGAAGCACCTTGGTTCATCAAAGCCCTGCTGTTAAATGGCACTTGCTCTCATCTCCCTGTTCCAATGTAAGGGGGAGAGTTCCAGAACAGTTATGATGATTCCTCCTATGCATCCCCTTTGCCATTCCTTTCCACCTCTACCACGACTGTAAACATCAAGAGCTTCCGTGTTGCAGCAGCCCCATCTGTGGCTGACCTACTGACTCCTCAAGGGTCATTGCCAGTGGGTGTAAATTAGAGCAGCCATGAGGCAGACATTTCATAAAGAGATTCGAATGAAGCATATGGTGCATGCAATATTTATATCTCTAACCATGCAATTACAGCACGTGGTTAAAGCAGATTCAGCATGTCAAACAGCAGAGACATAATACTGACAAGATCCTATTTGGCGGTAACAGACGGTTTATTCCTCTGATAAGTATTTGATTGTTGCTAGGCCCCTGTCCAGGAAAGGAAAGGACACGCTTCCTCTGTAAGCTGCCTTATGTACCGTATTTTTCGCTGTATAAGATGCACCAGACCATAAGATGCACCTAGTTTTTGGAGGAGGAAAACAAGAAAAAAAATATTCTGAATCTCAGAAGCCAGGACAACAAGATGGATCACTGCGCAGCGAAAGCAGCGATCCCTCTTGCTGATCTGGGTTCTGGGATAGCTGCGCAGCCTGCATTCGCTCCATAAGACGCACAAACATTTCCCCTTACTTTTTAGGAGGGAAAAAGTGAGTCTTATAGAGCAAAGAATACGGTATTTGAATCACTGCCTAAGAAGCTGAGAACCCTATGGGAGATTTTGGACATTTGAAGCAGGGGTGTGTGTGTGTTTGTGTGTGTGTGCATGTGTAAGGGAGAGAGAGAGAGAGAGAGAGAGAGAGAGAGAGAGCTGCTTTCGTTTTCTCACATAGCAAAATATTATTTAGTTTAGTTAAGAAAAATGGTGAATAAAGGAAGACATCTGCTTTGTGACTGTGAGAACAGGATGCTGGACTAAGTGGACCTTTGGCCTGGTTCAGCAGGCTTCTCCTTATGCTTTTGTTTATTTATTTTTAAAAACCATCCATGAGAATTCTCACTTTAACTTGGGGTGGGGAAAGAGGGCTCATTTCAAAAAACTC